GCCACAGGCTCCTGAGCGCTGGGATTACAGATGTGACCCACCATGCTTGGCCAAATGATTTTTTTTCTGTGCTGCTGGAGATGGAACCCAGGGCCCTGAGCTACTAAGCAAGGGCTCTACCACTGAGTTACCGCCCCAGCTACCGAGCAAAGGATTTTCTGTCCTTCTGGAAGACCCGTCCTTGAGGTAATATAGATTTAATTTAAATAACATGAAGCAGGAAAAGGTAACCCTCACATCTCTGGAGCAGGCTGTGGACACTCTCTAGGGCCTTATGCCGTGAGGCAGCCTGCCAAGTGTTCTTGGCCAGTGATGGCTCATAGTCAGCCAAAATGTCAGGGCCCTAATCTACAGCTTAGCCCACCAAAGAGTGCTCGCTGTCTCTGCCATACTGATCCTACCAGTCTTGACTTGTGTCAAGTGGATCTGTGACCTACTAACCCACTCTCAGGCCACAGTGATTGGTCCAAGGAGTGAGTGTTTAACCTGAGCTGGGCCAATCAGAGAGCTCTACTGAACAAGGCTGCGTGCTCTCCTGTTTGGGGCTTTGGAGCTGAGGAGGCACCATCTACCAGATCATTTGAAGAGAATGAGATAACGACGGGCAAGAGAAGCAGAAACAAAAGGAGCTAAGGGTCCCATCCCCCATCACACCATCCTGTCCATCTGTCCATCTGTTACGACACCAGCATCTTACTCAGGAGCCCCTTTTTGGCTTAGGCTGGTCTGAGTTGAGTTACTGTCATTTGCGATGAAAACAACCCTGCCTGCCACAAGCAGGAGTAAGAGGCTTTGCTTCTCATCTACTTTTGCTGTTAACCGTTTATTTTTAAATTTTTTAAAACATTTTTTTTTGTTTTGATGGAACTGGGGTTTGAACTCAGGGCTTCATGTTTTGCAAAGCAGGTGCTCTACCACCTGAGCCACACCTCCAGGCCAGTTTTTGCTGTGGTTATTTTGGAGATGGGAATTTCTTGACTTATTTACCAACTGGCCTCAAACTGCAGTCCTCCCTATCTCAGTCTCCCTAGTACCTAAGTAGGTGTGAGCCACCAGCAGCACCTGGCCAAGACTAATGTTCTTTAAAATTTTTCCCATATACACATATTAGTAGTAATATTCCAACTTTTTAAAAATTTACAGTAATACAGAATATTTGTTACAGAAACTTACACCATACTAGTGAACAAAAAGAAGGAAAGGACCTCTATCCCTAGATAGTCACTCTTAGCCACCTTGGCATTTTCCCAGCCTCCTTTTGCTATCTATCTATCTATCTATCTATCTATCTATCTATCTATCTATCTATCTATCTATCATCACCTATCTTCCTCCTATCGTCTATCTTTAATCTATCATCAATCTCTCTTTCCTCTAGCAATCTGAAACAACACTAGCTAATCCAGCACTTATTTTGCAAAGTGAAAGGCATGATTTCCTATGTATCTCAATTTTCCCAATGATCCTTAGCCCCCATTTATAGATGAGAGCATTGAAGTTCAGAGAGCATGTGGGGAAGGTTGCAAGTTGAACCCAAATAATCATTTGCCCTTCTTTAATGAGATTCTGAATTTTGGCAAAATGTCTAGATTTTGTCATCTAGACATTTCCTAACCTTTCTTGCAGCTAGCTATAACCCATATGAGTAAGTCCTGGCAAAGTGTGTGTAAGTCACAGCAATGTATGCAACTTTGAGGATGTATCTTAAAGGGAAGGAAAGTGTTCTGTTTTTTTTCTGGCCAGAATGTAGATGTGATGGCTAGAACTGGAGCAGCCATATGGGACCAAGGAGTAGAGAAGCAATTCAATACATATTGAATGACCAGACTGGAGGAGTCTGTGACCCCTGACTGTGGAGTCACTGTACCAGCTCTGGACTGCCAGTGTTTATGTGTGAGAGAGAAACTACTCTGCCACTGTTGCATTGGTTTCTGGATGTAGAATTTGGAATTTGGAAACGGGACACTGCAAATAGCGTATTGAACGTGGCAATGGCTAGCGGAGTCAGGAGGCCAGCAGATGGCAGAGATATACGTTTGGTCTCATGTAATCGAAGCATTTGATGAAACTTATCTGTAGTACCTTCAAAGAGCGACCACATGCTGAATGATGTCACAGCAATGGTAGGAAGGGGTTAGGTACGGTGACAACGGTGGGAAGGGGCAAGTTGTAAATGAGGCTTGTGTGGCCTTTCACAAGGTCCTATGAAGGCCACACAAACGGGCTAGAGCCAGTGAGACCTCAGAGACAAGGAACCCCAGTCCTGAGGTGTTGAAAACACCAACTGCTTTTGTCCTCCAAACTGCAGCTGTTAACAGTGGCCTTGAGGAGGGGAGATGAGGCTGGACTTTCCTGCCCTGCTGAAGGCAGAGCCATCTGGCAGTTCTTCGTGACGCTGGTAAGCTTGTACTTATGGCAAGCTGCTGCTGTCTTGACTGTGGGACACACTTCTGATCTAGAATTTCCCATGCAACATTAAGGGAAAGACAGGGACTGGGCATGGGAAGTCAGGCTCCTAACCAAGGGAAGGTGAGATGGGCAGAACATCCTGTTCCAAGAGTCGATGTTAGGGGAAAAAAGAGAAAGCAAACAAAATAAGTAAATAGCAGAAATCAAACATTCAGAAGAATAAAACAGACAATAACAGTATTGCATAGCTTGACTGCTTTTATATTGAGGAAGATTGTTTTTTAAGGAGTTACTATCAGAACAGGTCAGGATGAAAAAACATTCCAAATTTACAGAAAAAAACATTGCTGAGCAATTAAGATATGTTTCAAAAACAGTATGGCTTGACAGAATCCTTTGGTTGCTCCGAATGGAACAGAAGCTATCAAGATGGCAAGACAGTCAGCACGAGACACTCTGGGTTTGGTTCCAAGGGTTGAGGTCACAAGGCTTTTCCTAGGATGACAGGCAAGAACTAAGGGTGGCAATCTTATCTTTGTGTTCAACAGTGCTATGGTCTAAGGGACAACCTTTTTCTGGCCACGATACAGATTTGGGTTAATTTCATTCCCTGGAATATCAGAGCTCAGCTACTCCAGCCCAACTGTCTCCTTCTACCTAAAAGGCCACTAAGGGCAAGGGATCTTGCCTAAGTCCAGGTCTAGGCTAAGTCCTGCCTCTAAACTTTCCCCACGGATTGCTGCCTCTTCACCTCTGTAGCTGTTCACAAATGATGACTTCTGAGGAAGAAAAAGAGGCCACCCAGGCGTACAGCAGCAGCAGCACCTCACTAATCTAAAAGCAGAGGTAAGCACACACAGCTGCAGGAAGGTCGATGCAACTCTGTGATCCAGCCACTCCAGCTCCCCACTCATGGCCAAACCCAGTTGTTTTTTCCCTCTGCAAAGTCAAAACACCAAGTGGAGGATGTAGAGTGACACCAGCAGGGAGCCCATCCTGAGGAGGGCAGCACATTAGTGTTTCTGATTACATCTTCTGGAAGGTGCTGGAGCCCAGGATGTCATGTCTGCTCCATTCACATCCAATCAAATATTGACCCTGATTCTCACACTGTTCTTCACTCAGGATGAAGACTGCTTCCTGGGAGTGACTGCTGAAGGGTGTGAACCGCTGAGCCAGCAGTCTGGAGCTATGAGTTTTAACTGGTGTATCTGCAGTCCTTATGTGTGCATTTTGCTCTAATGGTTTTCTCGTCATGCCCTTTCCAGTATTTCATGGATTTTTTTTTTTTTCCTGGCAGGATCTGCTGGCTCTGAACTCCTGGCCCACACAGCGGCAGAACAAGGCTGGCTGCAACCTTTTTAAAGCTTTTTAGAAATTTATGTAACCATAATAGCAGCATTTTTGCAGACGTATTAAAGAGTTTATTTTTTAAAAATAATAAAGCACCCATCTCTGAGGTTATTTAGACTTCTCGAGCTTTTTACATACAGGATTATAGTGATCCATTTTTATTGAATGGCAATGATGTACCAAATATCCTGGTGGTATTTAAATTTTGTCAGCATTCCCTCCTCTTCCTCTCTTTGGTTCTTTGCTAGAAGAATTTTTCTGACTCCAGGTTGAGCAGAGCTATGGTGTGGTATCCTTTGTGTTCTTGGTCTCCCTTCTAGAAGAGGATTGCTCTCCTATTAAAAACCTGGCAGAGGCCCAGGTGTGGTGGCTCATACCTATAATCTCAGCTACATGGGAGGCAAAGATTGGGAGGAATGTGGTTCGAGGTCAGCCCAGGCGAAAAGTTAGCAAGACCCCATCTTGACAAACAAGCTGGGGGGCAGTTGCTCATCACCATAATCCCAGCTATGTGGGAGGCATAGGTGGGAGGATCAAGGTTTGAGGCTAGCCCCAGGCAAAAATGTAAGACCCTATTTGAAAAATAACTAAATCAAAAAGGGACTAGTATTTAGAGGCTCCAGTGGTAGAGTATCTGTCTCACAAGCGTGAGGCCCTGAGTTCAAACAAAAACACCCACAGTTTCTACTTGTTTGATGCTAATCAGTGAGAAGTCAATTTTGCCAGTACCCCCCACCCTAGCAGCGCCAGCTCACACTCCAGGGGAAGGAAATTCACATCCTCATGCCAGCTTAGTCCTGGGAACTTTCTCGTCTTTTACAGAGAAGGAAAACAGAGGCGCAGGCCCTCGGTGCCTGGTGGAGAGCTAGTAGTGCTGATGGGGGGTGGTCAGGAACCACGTCTCCCCACATCTCCCAGCTTTAATTCTAACCTCCGGTAGTTCGTTACACAGCACAGGCTTTCAGCACTGGGGATCGCCTCTCCCTCCATGCCACTTAACAGTAAGACATGCATGCGTGGGGAAAGGCAGAAGTACGGCAGCAGCTATGCTGGGTGTGATAAATAGAAACCCACTCCTCGGACACACTCTATCCATCTCTCAACAAGGGAGTGATTTAACTGGTCCAGGGTCTGCTAAATACCAAAATGGCTTCATCTACATGCACTGTAACACGAAAGCATTCTTCTTCTATAAATACTGTTAGAAGAAACTGGCATAGCTTCCTCTTTTGGGTACACACAAAAAAACTCGCTATTTAAAAATACCACATTAAAACGCTTATGCAATTTATTTTCTTTAAATAATAATTTGCTACAATCCTGTCACAGATTAAAAAAAATTTAACAACGGTGTTCACAAAGGCAGAATTCTTTAGGACAATCAAAATCCTAGGGTACTTAGAACAAATTAACACCAAATTGTGTTTCTATTCAGATAGTCCTCTCCTTTGAAATGAAACGGAGACCACTGTGGCTAGGGTGAATGCACACGTTTGTTCTTCTCTACTGAGATTCATTCTTTACATAAACTCAACGGTGATGTGAATCAAGTTAGGAATCCTGAGAACACTGGCCCTCAGGGGTGCGGGCACACACATGCACACCCCCCACGGGGCACCCTCGAGAAGCAGGGTTTCCCATGGTCATTTGTCAAAGTCTTTCTCAGAAGGGCCGAAGAGTCTGAACATTTAGATATTAACATACCCCCCGCCCCCCACCAGGACATTGCCTCGTTTTAGTGCGAGAGCATGAAGTAGCAGCAATCCACGTAGTAGACTCAGTAGTCAGCGCCTCTGGTCCAGGGACAGAGGACACAGTGACAGCAAGCAGAGGCGAGAGACGCGCCTGCTTCTATGCTAGTTCTCGGCGCCCCGGCTCGACCTTCACCTGAACACACATTACTCACATGGTTCAGGCACAGGTGTGAACCTGAAGGAGAAACGCAGGGGGAAAGCAGGCACGTTTTGGACGTGACTCTCAGGAATCTGGGGAGGGGTGAGAGATGAGAGAGGCAAAAGGGAGGGCAGAAAATGCACTGCTTGTCCCTCATCCGAGGTCCCTGTGTCCTGCACATGTACATTCACCAGGGTTCCTGGTGTCGGGGGTAAGCAGTGACCGCTAACTGCTCCAGTCCTGCCTAGAGGCACGGGAAACTCAGCCCAGAGGCCTACACACAACACACGAAACACCTAAGCAACCCTAGGAAACCCACTGGCCACTGTCAGGGGATCAACAGCACTGCTGGTGCCCTCTCTGGTTGCCCAAGGAGGCCCACAGGGCACAGAGATGCCTAGGGAGGAAGGCATTTGGACAGACCCCAAACCGAGATCCCCTTTTGCTATTTCTCTCCAGTCTAAAGGAAGCCACAGCGGCATGCATATCTACACCAGCTCCCGTGTCCAGGATGCCTCTTCCTCAGAAATTTAAAGTGCCGGGTTCACATGTGCTCATCCCCTGCCCACAACGACCCGTTCCTCTTGGGGCCTCTGGAGGAAGGCCTGTCCCCCTGGGGAAGGAGGAATGAACACTTCACAGTTGTCCTAACTGGGATCCAGCCTCTGGACTAAGCCTTCTTCATACACACGAAGGATCGCTTCGCACACAAACTTGTACTGGCTCTGGAAAAGAGGAGAAAGCTGTCAGGTCCGGAAGCCCCAGGAATGCTGCGTCCTGCTTCCCATGCCCGAGTCTGCAGTGTTTGTAACCACTCCCTGAGAGCTGGGCTGCAGGCTGGGGAACAGTGGGGTAAACTCAACTCCCGCACAGTGCAGGGAGGGCTGCCCCAGGGGAGGTAGACAGAGGGTTGCAGAAACATGGCAGAGCTGGCTGTCTGGGGAACTGAGGGAAGAGCCCAGGTCCCTGTGGGGTGGTCATTGTAGAGGACAGCCCATTATGGGAAGAGTAGTCAGGACTGGAACACCTGGGTTTTGAGTGGTGGGGTGGGGGTGGCACATAGGTGGGCTGGGATCTGGGTGGGGGACACCCTTGCATGGGGCAAGGTGTCTGGATTTTGTCTTAAAAACGAGGCCACAAAAAGATGCTCTGCAGAGTGTAGTTATTTATACAGTTGTCCCTCAGCATCGGTGGTAGACTGGTTCCAGGACCCTGTTGATCCCCAACTGCACAGATGCACAAATCCCTTACATAACACGGCAGTGTTTGCATGCCATTCAGGAACACCCTCCCCACATCCTTCTGCATGCCTCAAATCACCTCTAGACGCTCACAATACCTAACACAATGGAAACGCTGTGCAAACACTTCTTAAACTGTATTGTTTAGGGAATAATGACAAGAAAAAAGAGAGAACACATTTGGTACAGATACAATTTTTTTCCCTAATATTTTTGATCTGTGATCGCCTGGATCCTTGGCTGTGGAATTCATAGATATAGAAAGCTAAGAAGCATATTTTAGGGAAGTGTGCAAAAAAAACCAAAAGCATTTAAAAGAAGCCTCTCTGGTTACGAAAATCTACCAGGCGATGGGCTTTCTTTTAACCAGCAACGAGGTCTTCCATACCACAAAACAGACCTTACATATGTAAGCTGAGTTTTTCCCCACTTGAACAGATTCCTGGGTACAAACTAATATAACTACAAGGGCTCACCATCTATTAGGAAAATCTCACAAACTGTCCCCGAACCTGTCACAACACAGAGCTGGCTGGAACATAAAGTTCTTGTGCTTTCCTTGGCTATCTCTTCCTCACCCATTCTGGGGGTCTTGCCTAGAGGTCACTCCTTCAGGAAGCCTTCCTTGCCTTTCCAAGGTGTGCTTTAGGTGCTCTTCTAGCATGTTCTCAGATACCTCTGGAACCTTGCCCCTGTCTGCTGAGATTACAAAGGACTAAGCCAGTTCTCCTACTGGATACAAGTTTGGGTGTCTCTCACTTGCACAGTTATCTGATGAATGAATGAATGTGGGATAGTCCCATTTTGCAGATGGGAATAGTGAAGCTAGGAGAGAGGCTCTTAGGGGTCAACCTTCGGGCTGACCAAATCACATTTTTTCTACACCACCACCCTTCCTCTTTGGCAGGTCTGGGGTAAAATACAGAGATGTCCACAAGGACACCTGCAGCACCAAGTGCTCAGTCACAAACGGCTGGAGAGAGCCCAGAGAAGCAGAGAGAGTGGTGTGTGTGCTGCAGCTCGGCTCCTGCTGTCTTCTGATAGGCTCCCTGTGCAGAACGGAGCCGAGCTGCTCCCTGGCAGTGTGGTGGGCGGGGTGGCCAGAGGCAGCAGAACACAGGTGTGTGCTGGGGAAGCATGCAGTCCTCTGTGACCATGGGCTCGTGACTCAGTCTCCTTGAGTCTCAGTCTCGTCACAAAGCCTTTCGCCCATACCTGTTCCAGTGCAAGAGCTCAGGATGTATGAACCATCATCATTTGTATTACTGGATTTCTACTCACTGATGTCTGCACCATCATGGCGCGCTGGCCTCGCATTTTCCGAACGATATCCAGTGGGTAAACGGGCAGGTTTCTCTCAATTAAGCACATGGCTGTTTCCATAGTGACCAACACACCCGTTCGGCCTATTCCAGCGCTGGAGAAGAAAGAAGCAGACTTGGGATTTGCCTGAGCAGTATGTCTTTGTGGCCAGCTAAACTGTTACCCAATGTCCACTACCCAGTCCAGGGAGACCTGGCCTTGGTCTCTGGTGTGCTGTCAAGCTGGATGAAAAAGTAGTCTTCATAGGTCCTAAAGCAGGGGCTTAACGACCAGTGGAAAGAAACCTTTCAGGGCAAAATTCACTTCTTTTCTTATTCACACCTGCTGTGCAGGCCAGGGAACTTCGTCATAGAGGGAGATGTGGCTACGACTTTCCTCTTTGGCTCTGGGCTATTCACACACATTTATGAGTTTGTACAAGCATATAATTTTGTGGGATCTAGGGTGGGTTTGGTGTTTGCTGATTTTCTCCATGTCTTTCCCAAGGGTTATTAAGTATTTAAACCAAAACAAGCCACAGTACCTGCAGTGAACTAAGACGTGCTCCCCGTCCACCCTCAGGGACCTCACATAGTTCACAAATTCCAGAAAGTCTGAAGAGTCATCTGGCACACCGTGATCAGGCCATGCGACATACTGGAGATGTGTCACAGTGTGTTCTTCCCCAGTCTGCAGAAGACGTAGCAGTTTAGGTGAGTAAATCAAGATAGAAGGATTTGACCCACACAAGAGCAAGGGTGACCCTGTCTCCAGTGTTCTTTCTCCCACTGTGTCCAGCTCTGCTGAGGCCCCTGCCAACCCTCTGCCCCTAGGACCCTTTTCATGGGACTTAGCTCAGGCCACCTCCCACAGCACTGCCTTCTCAAACTCTTGTGCCTAGCGCCACTTCTTCCTTATGTTCCTAGGGCATTTATAATTAGGGACACACACACACTTTTTTGTGGTGCTGGGGATCCAACCCAGGCCTGCACTCTATCCCTGACCTATACTCTCAATCCCTTTTTTGTTGGGGCACAACAATAAATGTAAGAAGCTTTATCGTTTTCATCATTTTAAGATGTAAGGTTCAGAGGTATTCTGAACCTAATACTTCACAGTGTTAGGCCACCACTACCACTATTTCCAGAGCTTTGAAAAATTTTTTCTTTTAGTTTTTTTGAGTCAAGGTCTTTCTGGCTGAACTTGTGACCCTCCTGCCTCAGCCTTCCAAGTCCTGGAATTATAGCTGTGTGCTCCCATGCCCAGCTCAGAACTTCAAAAAAAAAAATCACCCAAACATAAACTCTGTAGCCAGAATAATATAACTCCCCATTTTCCCCCTTCCTCTAACACAGGGTCAACAATGTTCTCCTTTCTGTCTTTACGAATTCGATTATTCTAGGTTCTTCATGTAAATGGAATCCTAAGTATTTGTTCTTCTTTGTCCTCTTTCACTTGCACTAAGTCCTTAAGGTTTGTCTATGTTGTCACAGGTGTCAAAATGTCCTCCTTTTCAAGGCTGACTGCTACTCTGTCACCTAGATTCCCCCATTTTGTCCACCAAGGTAGCCCTATGCATACTGACCCTGGCTCTCTGACAGGTAGTTTTGTGTCTTTACTGACCTGCCCACCAGATGACAAGAGAACAGACCTGGCTGTAAGGCCCCACTAGGACCACAGGGTCTACTGATTAGGCACTTGCCCCTCCACTGTGCCCTCAGACTGCTGCTCACCTCGTGTTGTGACCAGCATCTCTCGGGACACATAGGCAATGGTGCAGTCCTCTGAGCGACACTGGATGTGAAAGATGCCATGGTCCATGACGGCAGGAGGATCGGGCCAATATTGGTGACACTTGGTCTGTAAGAAACCACTGAGGTAAATTAGCCTCCTCTGTGGAAGGCACACTGGTCAGGCGTCCAGCCCATCCGTGAGAGCCGATGGGAGAAGAGGAACTCAAGAAGAGGTCCAGCTGCTGTTGTGGGTGCAGTCTTTGTCCCCTTCTGCAGAGTGGGGTGGGGTCAGCCTACTAGGGACTAACTGGACTTGGCTGGAGCCTGCAGGAGGACAGGGGACTCCCTCCTCTTTCTCTTCTAAGCTCCTTCACTGGAAGCACAGCACAGGCTTCTGAGCAACCTCCACTCACCCCGTCTCACTTAGGTCCAGTCAGGTCCTTAGGCCCCTTCTCTGCTCTCAGTAGACCCTCCTGGCACTGCTCTCCTCGCCCTCTACCCTGTCTCACAGGTGGGGGCTCCAGTGCAGGGTCAAGCATGCACATCTGGGTGTCAGACAGAGCTCCACTGGAATCTCCTCCCCAACCTGTTCCATGACTGTATGAGCCACGACTGAACAAGCCACTTGGCCTCTGTAGTCAGGATGCAACTTAAGAAATAAATTCCCTGGGGAGGTGCCACATACGCCTGGCTAACAGATAATGAGGGCGAGGAAGTTGTTAGAGTTCTGTGCTGCTCCAAACCTCTTCCTGTAACCTCCTGTCATTGTCATGGCAACCTGGGGCCCTTACTGTTACAGTAAACCCATTTGCCTCTGGTCCAGTGAGATGAGGTCACTGGGATCCAGAGTTGCTACTTCACCCTGAACACCTACTGTAGGATAGGGCTGAGGGCCAAGGAAATTTGTCCTTAATCCTCAAAACAACCTGAGAGGCACTGTGCCTCCTTTCCAGTGATGAGGGCCCTGAGGCTGAGTCTGTTGACAATTACACAGATAGGATGTCAGAATCCAAACACCTCCTCTGACCCCAGAGCTGTGCCTTAAATTACTTACAGGAAAAGAAAACATTCCATATGATACATCTAAAGATATAAAAATTAATCATGCCCAGAAGAAACATCTGATGGAAGGCGAGGAAGAATGGTCTTCCCAAGTGAAAAGAGATTCCTCTAGGAAGAATCCCCTGAGTCTTGAGGGACAGTACAGTGAAAGCCACTGTGGGTAGAAATGAGGAAAGGGAGGAATCGGGCCTGCCGTGGTAGGCCTTGACTCTTTCTCCACTATAGCACAGTGCCAGGTGTGTGGCCTCTGACCAGTGTTCACCTGGTAGGAGTCCATCTCTACTACACTGCACAATATGGTAGAAAACAGAGGATATGCTGGAAAGTTCATCTCTCAGAAAAGAGAGGGGCATAGCTGTTCCCTGGAATGACCCACTGACTCCCAACCTGGAAGAACTGGGGAGGTACTGAGGATGAGAAGGGATTGCAAGACAAAGGTTCATCCAAGAGTCTGTAAGAGAAGGGTGGGGGGGGACCATGCACCCTGGATTTCGGAAGAAATGTTTCTAAATTGATAAATAACAGTAAGTTCCCAGAACCAGAGTTGCTGAGAGCATGCTGTGCTCAGGGGAGATGGAATCTAATGCAGAAAGCCGATACGAGCAGCCGAATGGATTCATTAGAAAGAAAAGAGCTGGAAAAAACCTGCTGGGTCACATGGCGACTCAGATGAGCTTGGGTTCAGAGTGGACACCAACAACAGAGGAGGGGAGAAAGGCTTTTTCCTGAGCTGGAGCAAGCACAGCGAGGGAAAGAAGGGGGCTGCCATTCAGGGCAGATCACCTGTCACCAACCGTTCCTGTGGGGGTTCCCCTTTCTCTGAGAAGAAGAGAACTGTCCAGCTGAAAGGGAAGAGAGAAACTTTAAAGGAGAAAGAGGGGGCCAAACAGACAAGAAGCCAGTCAGGGTCGAACCATCGAATGGGCTCAGCTGTCGGCTCTAAGGAGATGCACTATGAACTAAGAGAGCCTACAATATAGTAGTGGCACCTCTACACTGCTTCTGAGAAAATGTGGAGCCACCAAAGTAACAGAATTCAGGGCACAGGAAGGCAGAGAGATCCCAGGAGGGAAGGGCAAAAGACTTGATGTTTATTACCTTTAAAATAACCAAATAGCACAGATTTGAGACCGCAAAGTACAGATAACCAGTGGTTCACTGGGAGACTGGGTTTCCATTAAGCAACACAGAACGTGGTTCTGTGTTTTGTTTCTGATTGCGGTATTTTTGACTGTGCCTTAGAGAGCACCAATGTGGGCTCCGTTTTAACATTACCTCCCTAGTACCTGAACTCTGTTTTTACAATGGAGACTGAGAGCTACGGGTTCAGCCTGGAAGGCAAGAGACTTTAGAATTTAATAGCACTGTTTTTCAAAAGGATTTTTGCATCTTCACACATATTTTCTATTTATGGCAAGTGATACGGAACTTCCAGTTAAGAAATCTCTTTCAAAGGAAATTTACTAAAACCAAATAAGTGAGTCGATTTAAAGAAAATATTAAATAAGACTACAAAATAAATGGAGGACAAATGGTTTCTGGGAAGCATCATTAAGGTGGCACCAAATTACTACTACCCCTGATAACATTTTAATAAGTATTTACTGTGCGCTAAGCACTCTTCCTAGAGGCAACCCATATCAACTCATTTAATTACCCCACAATCCCAAGGTAGGTCTACTATTAAATCTGAACAGTTCAGAAACCACACAGGTAGGAAGCAGTAAAGCCAGGAGTTGAACTTGGGAAGTATGGCTTTCATATCTACCCTCTAATTCACTACACCACATACTCAGATAGCTGCAGGGACTTTAAGAAAATGTACTGAGAGCTGGCTTAGGGAACGGGGTTCCTAAGTTCAAAAAAGGTACAAGTAAATTTGTTTTCATATTAAAACAAAAACAGACAAAAATGAGACTTTCCAGACAGAAGCATAGTTTAGGTACATGTCGATTTTAGGCAAGCCTTATGGTCTGACATTGGTATGGGCAGATCAGAAATGGGAGAAATGGGAGCACAGCAGAATTAACAATTGCTCTCCACTGTTCTCATGCTCTGAGGAATAGCATTCAGGAGGAAGTTACTGTCTTTTTCAATTTTTTCATCAAGTGACTTATGTGAGGAGAAGAGACCAAATCTGAGTGATGAGAGGCCAGGAGTGATAACAATGAAAAAAAAAAAAAAGGATAGTACCAAGAGTTTCTAAAGGCAATATGAGGCTGATCTGATACAACGATGATGATGGCAGTAACATAACGGAACCAGAGCAGCATTTGCTGGACATTGAAGCATACAGTTATCTAAGCTCTCAGTTTCCACCAACCCTCTATGGTGGACACTACTGCAGCTCACTCACATTCAGGAGAGCTCAGGGTGAGATTTAGTAAACTGCTCAAGAGAATTCAATCCTATGTCCAGTATGCAGATGGATGGAGGTTCTAAGAGTCAAGGGCATGAGCTCTAGACGGGAAGAGACTGGTTCATGGCAATATCAAAGACAAGGTCCACACATCCTTGCTGACACGATTTAAGGAAACCCAAGGTCAGATATCTGAAGGGACATTGCAGAGATGGGTGGGGAACTTATTTTATGTCTTCTACATAGAGAATAAATGAGGGTGGTGTAAAGGTGGTCATGTTCGTTGAGAGAATATTTTTGTTTCTTTTTTTTTCTTTAAAAGACTTGAGCATCCATCCACATGATGGATCCTGGAAGAGTTTGGTAAGCTGCTATCTGAGACAACACTTGTAAAAGCCTTTGCAACCCATGGACTCTAAGGAATAGTAGAATTCTTATTTTATTGTTTAAGGTGGGAAAGAAGGCTGACATCCTCAAGGTACACCTTCCAAGTCCTGTGTATTCTCATTTTTCAACATGGATTCTCTGGCATATGAATAACACACTGCGGTGGGAACCTTGGGAAGAGATGATATCCAGATCACTCAAAGCAGGTGGTTTCAACTAAATCTATATTTGGTTTTAGAATGTGCTTCTGAATAAACATTTCAATATGAGTACCAGAGTATCTAGAGTTGGGAATTCATGCCAGAAGTATGCTTGCATGCTGACTTTTTACATCATCAGTACCTGTTTCTATGGGAATGGTATGACAATATATTTATCTTACTCTTTTTGG